GCGGAACTTCACGGGTAGTGTAGTTGTAGTGACCGGTTCCTCGTCGGGCATCGGAGAGGGAATCGTTAAACTGTTCTCAATATTAGGGGCTAATGTTGTGGTCACCGGAACGACAGCCACTAAGGTTCAACGAGTGGCCAAAGAGGTACAGGAGTTGTCACCACTAAAATTAAAGGTATAATTTATTTGATCATAAATTATATTAGGAATAAATTACTAATAAAAATTCAATGATTTTATTGACAGCCATTAGAAGTTGTGGGAGATTTGACCAAAACCTCTAATATAAACATTTTAATCGATTCTACGGTCAAAACATTTGGCAAAATTGATGTATTGGTCAATAACGCCGGTATATATAAACTAGCGAACATCACATCACCGGATCTGTTATCAGTTTGGGATCAGATATTTGCCGTCAATTTACGCGCTGTCGTAGAACTTATCCACCGATCGGTTCCACATCTGGAGAAGACTAACGGAACTATTATTGATATTTCAAGTATCTCCGCAATCGCACCGGTATTTACTTATAATTGTCTATAATAACAGATGTAATACTAAACGAATTGTCACATTTAATAATAGGAATTTTATAAAACATTGTGATTAGATTTTAATAGTTTATCATTCAGTTATACGTCTAGTTTGAATTTGCATAAAAAGTATTTACTCAAAACATTATTGTTATAATAATATTTATTACCATGTTGAATTTACAATTAAATATTGGTGACATTTTTTAGGTTAAAATGTTCGGACCGGCTTTGCCAGCGGCTAAAGCGGGTATAAATATGTTGACCGAAATATTGGCTCTGGAATTGGGACCCAAAGGTATTCGTGTCAATGCTATTAGGTATATTGTTTTTATCTTAATTGTAATATTCTTTCTCTCTCTCTCTCTCTTTCTCTCTCTCTCTCTCTCTCTCACGCAATCACTCACTCACTCATTTACTGTATATTGTTTTTTAGCCCGGGTATAATACATGTAACAGAACCTCCTAACCTATTGGAAAAGTTAGTCCCAAAATACACGCCATTGGGAAGAGTGGGTCAACCCCTAGACATCGCCCGTGCGGTCGCATTCCTGGCCTCCACTGACGCCCACTTTATTACCGGCGCTAATGTTGTGGTCGACGGCGGACTTGTATATAACGCGGGTGTTTTGAATACATTGTAAACTTGTTGTAATTGAAAACATTTTATATTGTCAAAATAAAATATTTAAAAATTATAAAAGTATATATTATTTATAAAAACTAGCTTAGCAAGTTAATTTATATAACTTGTAAGCACTTAATAATTAAATAGCACTTATATTTTATCAGTATTCATTAGTATTTATCAAAAAGTAAGAAAGCATTACGGTATGTGTTATTTATTAACGTTTTTAAATCTTGGTGACAATTATGACAAATTTTATCATGTAAAATAATTGTCCTAATATTGTACTATAATAAATATTTACTTTTACAAATAATTTTATCCAACAAATATAATAAAGACTTAAAGATATAAGTATTTTAATGGCAAAATATTGTAGTAAAACATTACATTATGTATCACGTTTATAAAGAGTAACTAAAAATAATTTATTATGATGAAAAGTGCTCAGCACATCTCTGAGATAAAGTAAATTTATCATATTCAACAACCTCAAAACAACTTCACATTGTTTTCATATAAAACAATAGCTTTATAATGTACAAAAATTTAATTTGAAAGGTTATTTGACACACTGTGTATTAATGTACTGTTAAAGTAGTTCTACAGTGGGAACTCTATGCTGTGAACATTCTATGCTGTGAACTCCTCTATGTTATGAACAAAATCTCAAAACCAAAACACTCATCTCATTGACTTAATGTTAAAATAACCTCTATGTTATTAACCCTCTATGTTATGAAAACTCTATGTTATGAACACATTTTGGCTCAAATTTTATGGCATTTCAATGCATAACACTCTCTATCTTGTGAACCGATGACTAACTCATTAAACATTGCTATCATATGTCAAACATATTCTCGATTAGATGTCAACACATTTTAAATGAAATACAAAACAATCTTTAAAACAACTTTTAATTCATTAAAACAGTCTAACATAACTAAATATTTATTTAAACAATAAATTATATGTAATTTTTAATTTATAAATGAAATTTATAGCTTTAAGCCTACCCTCTATCTTGTGAACACCTCTATGTTATGAACCAAAAGCTCTGAACCCGATCTATTCACAGCACAGAGTTCTGACTGTAGTGCAAAAGACTAAGATACTATATAAATACAACAGCTAAAAGATAATAAAAATATCAATAAAATTCATTGACTGAATTGTAATATTGTATTATATAATAGTTTGCTTTATATTATTTTATTATTTATTATTAAATATGAAATTATTAATAGCATTAATGTTTGGATTGGTTTGTATTGTAAGCGCAGACTATCCTATAGAGGACTATAAGGTGGTCGCAAAGTCCCGGGACTTTACGGGGAAAGTGATTCTCGTGACCGGTTCCTCGTCGGGCATCGGAGAGGGAATCGTTAAATTGTTTTCCATATTAGGGGCTAATGTTGTGGTCTGTGGAACGACTGCCACTAAAGTTCAACGAGTGGCCAAAGAGGTGCAGGAGTTGTCACCACTAAAACTGAAGGTATTTAAAAAAATATAATTATCAAAAAATTAAGTTTCTAATAAAAACAAACATTTTCAAACAGCCATTAGAAGTTGTGGGAGATTTGACCAAAACTTCTGATGTAAACAATTTAATCGATTCTACGATTAAAACGTTTGGCAAAATTGATGTATTGGTTAATAACGCCGGTATATATCCGCTGACAAACATTACACAACCGGATCTGTTATCAGTTTGGGATAAGATTTTTGCCGTCGATTTACGCGCTGTCGTAGAACTCATCCACCGATCGGTTCCACATCTGGAGAAGACTAACGGAACTATTATTGATATTTCAAGTGTGGCTTCAATGACCCCGGTATGTTTTAAATAATGGTTAATCAAGTTGTAATTAATCAAATTTATATTAATTATTTTTTATATAAGTATACTATATATTTAAGTATATTATTTAAAAAAAGTATTTCATGCTAATTACTGTTGTAACTACTGTATACTTAAAATGCTATAAATACAAGGTTTGAAAAATATAAATGTTACAATGTAAAACTAATGTTATTTCAATATATAATTACTCAACTAACTTTAATTTATTTAATAGAAATTTTTCGTTAATTTATAAACTAATCATATACTGATTTACTCAAAATAGGTCAAATTTGAGCTAGCCTATTCATCCGCTAAAGCAGGTATGGATATGTTGACCAAAATATTAGCCCTGGAATTGGGACCCAAAAATATTCGCGTTAATACTATTAAGTAAGTATTTAGATAAAAGTTATGCTCTATATTACTCTAACATTGATATTTACACCAAAAGTCCCGGTATTATACATGTTGGAGACCCTCCCAGTCCTATAGAAGTATTCGCGTCCAAATACATACCGTTGGGAAGAGTGGGTCAACCCCTAGACATCGGCTGTGCGGTCGCATTCCTGGCCTCTACTGACGCACAGTTTATAACCGGCGCTAATGTTGTGGTCGACGGCGGCATTATATTCAATGTCGGCGTTGCGAATACACTAAACATATAATATATTATTGTATAATAACAACATTTAAGACAACGTAATATGTGCAAATTATAACAACACCCTTGCAAAGCATATTGTTAAACATGTTTTAAAATTAATATTCAATTATGTTATTTAAAATTAAACTGTTTTAAAAATATATTATTTATTATAATTTGCAAATGATATAATAGAATTTGCATTTGTATTATTAAATTTATTTTGAGAAATCAAAATAATTATGTTTAATATTTTGTAACAACATTACTTGTATGATACAAGTTGTATCTAAAGTTGTGTTTGTTGTGACAAACGAATATAAATCCCAGCCTTAGTTAATGTCATGAATTTAATTTATTCTGTTGTAGACGTTTTTAATATCACTGGTTTGACATTAATCTATTTTGCAATCAATTATTATATTAAATTTGTAAAAATATTATTTTACACTAAAATAATTAAAACTTTCAATAAGCAATTTAGATTAATATTTTTGCTATTATTTAATGCGGTATTTATTGAAGGCAAAAGGTATAATGTTAATGCAAATTAATTTTATTTGATAGTATATATTGTATGATGAATTTGATAGTTTTATCATATATTGATAGTTATTAGATAAACCTTGATACTATTCTTTAGAACCACTTAATATTATATTTATATAAAAACAATTGACTCCAATGCACTAAATTTAATTTAAAAGTCAATTGAAACATTGTAGATTAAAATACTATTAACTCGACTTTAGTGCAACCGTTTGCGACACTATATAAACACCACAAACTAAAAATAATAAAATTATTAACAAAAATAATTTATTGATTTGTAATAATAATTTTGTATTGTAATAATTTATTGATTATTCTTAAATATGAAATTATTAATAGCATTGATGTGTGGATTGGTTTGTATTGTGAGCGCAGACTATCCTATAGAGGACTATAAGGCGGTCGCAAAGTCTCGAAACTTTACGGGTAGTGTAGTTGTAGTGACCGGTTCCTCGTCGGGCATCGGAGAGGGAATCGTTAAACTGTTCTCAATATTAGGGGCTAATGTTGTGGTCACTGGAAGGACAGCTCCAGATGTTCAACGAGTGGCCAAAGAGGTACAGGAGTTGTCACCACTAAAACTAAAGGTATTAATATTTCCAAACATAATCATATAAAAAATAAGTTTCAAATAAAAACAATTATTTTTTTAAAAGCCATTAGAAGTTGTGGGAGATTTGACCAAAACCTCTGATGTAAACAATTTAATCGATTCTACGGTCAAAACGTTTGGCCGATTGGATGTGTTGGTCAATAACGCCGGTATATTTAAGCCGACAAACATCACTCAAACGGATCTATTGTCAGTTTGGGATCAGATATTTTCCATCGATTTACGCGCTGTCGTAGAACTCATCCACCGATCGGTTCCACATCTGGAGAAAACTAACGGAACTATTATTGATATTTCTGCCATAACAGCAATTGCACCGGTATTAACTCATAACATAATTTATACTTAATTATACTAAACTACATGATTTTATAACTTGTTACAATGTTAAGCTATTACAATAACTATTGTTATTATTTACCAATTTATATAACTAACTTTTAATTATTATTTACTTTATAACTATAAACTAATTCTATACTGATTAAATTAAAATAGGTCAAATTTGAGCTAGCTTATGCATCGGCCAAAGCGGGTTTGGATATGTTGACTAAAATAATAGCCCTGGAATTGGGGCCAAAAAATGTTCGTGTTAATACCATTAAGTTAGTATTTAAATAAAAGTTCCAAATCACTAAATTTAACTGAAATTTACAAACAATAGCCCTGGTACGATACATGTGAGAGACCCTCCGGATCCTATAGAAGTACTTGCGGCCAAATTAACGCCATTGGGAAGAGTGGGTCAACCCCTAGACATCGCCCGTGCGGTCGCATTCCTGGCCTCCACTGACGCCCACTTTATAACCGGCGCTAATGTTGTGGTCGACGGCGGCGTTATATTCAACGTCGGCGTTGCAAATACACTAAACATATAATATATTATTGTATAATAACAACATGTTAGACAACATATAACAACACCTTAGCGAATCATATGATTAAGTATGTTTTAACATTAATATTCAATCATGTTATATAAAATTAAACTGTTATACAAAAATAAACTGTAAATGATATGATAGAATTTGCATTTGTATTATTATATGTACTTTGAGAAATCATAATAATTATGTTTGATATTTTGTAACAACAATAAATAAGAATGTGGTATATAATTTGATTTTATTGGATTTTATTTGCCGTTCTTGTATTCATAAAACGAGTATTTTGGTTATTATTTTAAAATTATAATATTTTTGTCGTGGTGCAAGGAAAAAGATTTTCAAGTTAATTTTAGAAATAAATATGTCAAAATGTTCATAATCATTATAAGTAAAAAGTTTTTAATTTAACAATATCTTCATTTAAAGTTATTAATTTTAATAAAAATAACGGAATATATCAGCAGACAAACATCACTTAATCAGGGTATAATTCATGCTTATGATTAATGCTATCCAAAGTAAATACAATAGTTACTAAAAATTATTTAAAAGTAAACTGATTTCTGGGCGATTCTGTTTTATTGTGTAAATAGTGTAAATAATAATCTCTTTGGTAAGTTCATATTGTAGTTTGATAGATTAGGTAAACTATTATTTATGGATTATTTGAACATTGTTAAATCTCTTACAAATGATAATATCTTTATCGTAAAATTCTAGTGGACTAGTAATGCACTAAATTAAATAATTGTTCTCTTGTATATTTAATGTGGTTATTTTGTAAAATTTGTCACTATATAAAGAAATCACATTTCTAAAAGATAATTCAATTTTTAAAAAAATTAATTTATTGTATTAATAATTTTATTATTTATTGTTAAATATGAAATTTTTAATAGCATTGATGTGTGGATTGGTTTGTATTGTGAGCGCAGACTATCCTATAGAGTATGATTGCTGCGAAGCTATTTATAACTTGACGTGGTTATTGCATTACCTTGATAATTTATCACACATTATTCACTATTACCGTTACACTTATTATAGTCATCGAGTGCCCTGTATTGATATTATGAGTATAAATGTTTTAATTTAAAACCCCACTCTTTATATGAGTATTACGCTATATATGAGTAAAACATGCATAGAGTATAAATTACATAGCAATAAAATTGCCTTGAAGCTGCCCTGAGACATACATACTATAGAGGACTATAAGGCGGTCGCAAAGTCGCGGAACTTTACGGGTTCTGTGGTTCTCGTGACCGGTTCCTCGTCGGGCATCGGAGAGGGAATCGTTAAACTGTTCTCAATATTAGGGGCTAATGTTGTGG